CTCTTCGTCAACGAAATTTTTATAGCAGCATCGGCTAAATGCATCACCGGGTGAGTTGATTGCATCACTGTCATCTAGGCAACATTTGTATTTGGACTGAAAAAATAAGCCGAGTTAATTTTCTGGTTAAAGTCAATGAGATTTTAATTCCCGGAAAACTTCTCATAACTCTGCAAAATAATTCAATTATCATCAATGATGAAAAATCATTTATCACAAAAAAAAGAAAAAACATTTGAATTGTTTCTCAACTACATAAACCTGTCAACAGTAGGCTTTAGACTTCTCTCTATTGTTATATTTTTTTTCATGGGAAACACAAACTGTTCCTCTAAATACCAAGACCACTAAAACCGCATGTTAGTGCTATTACTGGATATTCCCATACGCCGAGTGTAGCAGCTATTATATTTTCCAAAAATTACCTAAAATTACCAAAATGAGAAAGGGTAACAAACATGTTGGAACTGTGAGATCGTACTTAAAAAATTAAAGTCAAAAATTGTTGCTTCTTTAGAATTCTAATAACTTCATTTACTGTAGCCCTGGATTTACTGAACAACAGGAACAAGACGCCCTACTCCTTCTCCCGTTTTAATTTCTGGATTCAAATTAACCTGCATAAATTTTTGCATACAGCACAGCTCCGTGGTAACATTCGTACACCGTCCTGGCATGCACATATCGGTCAAATAAATACCTTTGTTGCAACACTTATTCATTTTATCATTACCCATTGCTTTCTTCTGCAAAATAAAATAGTTCGGGAAAGAGAAAAATTTGGAAAAATAAGGTTTTTTTTGTGAACCACACCAAGTAACCTTTCACTGACCATTTCTAGACCCCTATTCATTGATGCCTTGATCAGATGCAAAAAAACAACTTGGTTCTCCATCTATTACAAGTGAAATCTTTTTCGGTTTTGGTGCCCAATGCTGCACTGCCTGAAGGCCAACTTGCTAGCAATCCTAACGTTCATTTGCCACCAGTAGGGGTTAACAATGAGGTACTTCTCTTCACAAAAGTACTAAAAAACTTGAGCTATTTCGAAATGTCTCTGATTTATGTTGAGCCAATACCTCATATCTTGAACGTGGTAATCCCTAGGCCATAATGAATTTACCCTACCCACTAGAAATCTATTATACTACAAAAGACAAAAAATTGTTTAGCTCTTGAGTTTTATCTACCACCTTTACAAAAGTGGCTAGTTTCGAAATATATCTCATAAATCCGACGGGCCAACAAAATCCCTATGATACATCTTGTCAGTGAAATAAGTGGAAAAGAGTCTCTTAAGATAAGTCAGTTTTTGCGAAGAAATTATTTAGCAATGATGGTACCTGCTGTAGGCACACTTCATCGGTAAAAGCAGCGCACGGTACTTGTTGTTCAAATGAAAATGGTGTTGGCCAAACACCAGGTTCTTCTGTTCCAGGGATTTGTGTCTGCAAGTAAAATCAGTTTTTTTTTAACAAAAAAAGGATTCCGCACATTCCAAAGAAGGGCATAGCATAGTGGGAGGTAGCACTGCTGCTGTGCGCAGAAGGTTGAAGATATGGATCCGCTAGTGCGACAATCAGTCTCTCCACGGCCCACTCATTCGTTTTGATGGTAAATTGGTAGCAGAGAATGCCAGAAAGTTTCAGGAAAGTGGATGATCATCGTTTTTAGAGATGGTGCAGATTTTTGCAAAAGTAACTGCCAACTTAGCCCAGGACCTGTGCTCGCTGCACTTAACAGCATTACTAACATCGGCCCGCACACTATTCAACGAGGCGATGCTGTTAATTTTAATAAATATGCAAATTAAACTACATTGTTATGCTGCCAGAAGTATCGAAAAATTTGCATTATTGAGGGCTATAAAACTGGTGAAATGGTGAAAAGAAATCAGTAATTTCAAGCTGGCGGAGTGATGCGGTTGGTTCATCGCGCTTTTGCTCAGTGACTATCAGCTCGCCAAGTTTAGTGCTGCTGGTGAAAACGGTGACGCTGGTGTGGAGAAAGATGCAGAAAGTCAAGAAAACCGGAGGAGCCCCGAAGAAACTGAAGGAAGCTTTACAACGAAATCGCGGCGACAAATCCTGGGAGGTGCTTCACCTCCAAAGATGCGAGGAATCCGGAAGGACGCTTCACCTCGAAGGTCGTGAGTAGACTGGGATTATAGCGAAATTATGAAAAGGAATCTGAGGGACGCTTCATAGCAAAGTCGTGAGGAGCCCGGAGAGATCCTTGCAGCCAAATACAAAAGAAACCTGGTATGTGCTACGTGAAGAGAAAATGTAAAGAATAACATCGTGAGAAAACGCAGCATGGAAGAACATGGAGGAAGAATCCCTAACACAGAAGGTGCAGAAACGCAGAAAAGAAATAAACTGTCATGAGTTGTCCCGGATTTTAGCTGTTGCTTCAGACGGAAAATTTTAAAAATGCGACGAGTTAAGCCAAAGATGAATGATTCGGTTGTTTCAGACTGAGAGCTTGGACGTTTTTTCAAAGGTCTGCTGGATGATGAAATTTCGCTGTTGAGCATTTCTGGAGATCGGTGCATAATCGCAAAAGATATTACGCAAAAGGCTTTCAAAGAAAAAAATATCTTAAAATGATTGATCTAAGCTTTGATCAAGAAGTCCAAAACGTCAAATGTATGCTGATCTGATCGATTTGAAGCTTGGTCCATGAAGCCAAAGAACATATTTGGAAGAACCTCCTGAACTGGCCGATCGCAAGCATGATAGATGAAGCCTAAAAAGTCAGATAGAAAGGTTTCCTGAACTGGTCAGTCTGAAGCTCGATCCATGAAGCCGAAGAAACCAAGTTAAAAAGTTTCTTGAAGTGGTCGGGCTGGAGTTCAACCGATGAAGCTGGAAAGTCAAGGCGAAGTGCTCAGCTCGATTCGAAGCCTGGCGGATGAAGCCAAAGAAACGGTTTCGGAAAATCTCCTGAACTGGTCAATTTGGAATTAAGTGGATGAGACCAAAAAATTCAAGTAAAAGATCTCCTGAGCTGGCCGATTCGAAGCCTGGTGGATGAAGCCAAAGAAACCATTCCGAAAAATCTCCTGAAGTGGTCAGTCTGAAGCCTGATCCATAAAGATAAAAAGAAGTCAATTCGAAAGATCTCCTGAACTGGTCGATTTAAAGTCTAATCCATTAAGACAAATCGATTGCGTGTTAGGATATTGCTTTTCAATCTAAAATTGCAAGTTGTTCTCATTGCTGAATTCGATATTATGATTGTTGCGTTCACGTTATTCCTGTTGCTGTTGTTGATTGCCTACGATTACTGCTGTCACATTGTATTTTACTCGCATTCTTTGTTGTATTCACAGTTGTATCATAAAAATTTTTTAATTTCTGTCACAGTTGTAAACCTGGAACAACCAACTTTGGGGATATTTGTTTCACATCCTACGTATAAAGTTTTCGGCGTATACAGTTCACCAATATGTCCGCGGCCAGATTGCAGATAGAATGGTGTTAATTTAGGGTGATACAGTTCACCAGTATGTCCGCGGCCAGATTGCAGATAGAATGGTGTTAATTTGGAAGAAGCTGACAACTGCTCCTATTTCGGCTAGCATCTATCTTGTCTTCTTTGGATTGCTCTCTAATACACATTCAAAGTCTGCATCTAGAAACTCAGAAGAACGCTGGATCGTATTTACTACTTACGCTCAAGACCTGGATTATTGGTTTTGAGGTCTAGATTTAGTAGGAGCTAGAGCAGGTCTTTATTTCAGCTGTATGCCTCTGGATTTTACCGTCAATTAAGAAATCAAGCCTTTGATGCAGATGCTGTTCAGAAAAAACTCGCTTCTTATTCGTGTCTTCTGCTTAACACCAACATATTGCACGCATTTCGATTAATTTTGAGTAAAACTTTTGCTCGGACTTCTATGCCCCTTTGGAGAAATTTTGTTGCTTTTGAGTGACTACAGCATCTCCTCCGTCAAATTTTTTCAACTCTCAATACACTTTTTCGCATTTCAATCAATTCAGCCGGTCGGTTTTGCAGTTTTGGATTGAAAAACCGACCGGTTGGATTCGCCGACTGCAGAAAAATGAGCTGAGGGATGCAAAATGGAGTTGACCACATCTTGGATGTAACAGTTATTGAATTTTTTAGAACTAACTCTTTGAGTGGTTGTTGTTGTCATTTCAGTTACTGGTTGTGAATAATCGTAATCGCTTTCTTCAGCGGAATCGTAGAGTGAGGGCGTCTTCACGGGACCACCCAAGCTGAACGGCGCTCTTGTAGTACCTGAGCTTGCAATCACAATATAGTTTTACGTTGAATAAGATGAATTATACTTTAATCGTCGTTATAGAATGTAGTCAAACAGATGATAATCTGTTACTTTTTTTTGTTCAAGGAACGCAAAACTGTCGAAATTTAACAACAAAGTGCGAAAAATTTGCAGAGTGTAGGAAGATTTGCCTAAACTAATTGCTAAATTGCGTACAGGCGTGTATGGTACCAACGAGATGGTGAACGATCCCTAAAGGTTTTCGGACGTAAATCAAACAGATGATTGGTACCAGCTGAGAAGGTCTACAAAACAGGTTACAAGGACTTAATTTAAACTGGCCAGCAACATTATTATATCTGAACCAAGCAACTTACTGCCTCGGTAGTTACGATAAGCCGAATAATAAAACAAACCCTGCTGCACGGTTTGTTGTCCTGGCGATTCTAACGGTCTCCATTGTTCTTCAGCAGGCTCAGCGGTATCATCTGTGTAAAGTTCATCTTCAGTCTTCCGCTCCTGTTGTATTCTTCGTTGTTGTTCCTGAATCCTTCGCTGCTGCTCCTTAAAAAAATTTTTCAGACAACTATAAACGGTTTTTAGCTAAAACCAACTGCAGATTCGGGTTGCTGAATGGAGATTTTACACTCATATTTGCACTCCTGCAAGGCCATGAAAGACAAGAGGCAAACAAAAAAAAAACCAAAAAATTTTACCGAATTTCGAGAATCGGTTTTTTTAGCCGATATATCCATAGTAATTGCAATTTTTTTAGAGAAGAAATTATATAATTTTGGCTTCGAGTCAAAAATTTGTTAGAAACTTGCACAAATGGTGGGTGAGTATTAAAATAATTTGAAGGAGTCCTGCGATTTCTTGGTTTCATAGCATCTTTGAGTACGACAGTTAAAGCTGAATAAGAAAAATCAATCCAAAGCCTCAATTACGCTAAAGAAATAAAAAATAGATCAGACCTGGAAAAAGAAGTACGAAATTGAGCAGATCATTTAGAAGCGCTAGCAGATGTCACTTTTGTTAAAGGATCCCGAGTTTTAAGGTGCAAACGGGTAAGGAGCGAGGAATGAAAGCGAACAAGGGGTAATTCTTCGACGGAAACAGGATACCTTGTTATAGAATACCCTATTATAGCCATTCTTTAACGTCGATGATTATGTGCTTGTAACTAATTATCAGAAGCTTTTACTATGCGAATAATTACTGCACCTGCTGCTGTTGCTGTTGCTGCTGTTCCTGCAAACGTCGTTGTTCATCCAGCAACCTTCGCTGCTCTTGGATTCTACGTTGCTCTTCTTGCTGTTGACGTTGCTTTTCGAGTTCAGCTCTTTGTTCTTCCCGAATTCGCTCCCTTTCACGGTATCTTCGTTGCTCCTGTTCCTGTTGGTATCTCTGCTGCTCCTGCCGTTGTTGTTGTTGCTGTTGTTGTTGGTACTCTTCTTGTGGCTGTCTGTATTCTTGTCTTTGCTGTTGTTGGTACTCTTCTCGTTGCCGTTGTCGTTGCTGGTGCTCTTGATGCTGTTGCAGATAGTCTTGTCCTTGTGGTTGTGGTTGTTGTTGCTCTCGAGTTCTACCCCGTTGTCGACTGCCATTTTGGTGGATTCGATTCAGAAATGTTGATGGTTTCCATCCTTTAGATGACCGGGAACTGCTTGGTCGCTGTAAATCTTTATCCGGTCGAATTATGATTCGTCGTTGATTCGGCTGCTGTCGATTATCGTTACTGGAAAGTGAAAGTAATTAACAAACTACATGATGCCCGGATATACGCTATCTTGATTCCTCTAGTTCGTGCGGAAGTTCACAAGCACAAATGCCAAAAATTCTAAAAACTTCGAGATTTTCAAAAGTTGCACAGTTTAAAGTATTAGGTAGATGGTCACGAAAATAACCGTATGTCTACATCTCGCTCAGAAAGCCCCAGGATTTACGGATATTCGAAAGGAGATGTCAAGATTATCATCAATAGCTCAACACTGCTTATTTGGGAGCATATAATTTGCCATATTTTATTTGCTCAGAAATAATTATTGATAAGTCAATAACTTTAGCAACTAAGCACAGCGCAGTGGGAAGTAGCACTACAGTGGATCGAAGATTGGACTTCACCGGTGGAACAACTAATCCCTTTACGATTCGTTGTTTTGATGGTAAATTATTATTGATACATGTCAGGGAGTTAAACCCGCCACCAGCTTGCTTGTTAGCACTCGGCAAAAAGGGGCCTTGCCAGCGGGTTGTTGCTGTTAGCTACCACTCGGGCTCCTTACTGAATGCCCCTACGTCTCCCTGAGAACGAATACGGAAGGGATTTTGACTTCAGCATTAACTTTAATGTTTACCTGTTAACCTATGAAATAATTTACCTTCTTTGCTGCGCGTTTTGTTCCTCTCCCGATTGGCGCTGCCGCTGTTGCTGCAGTTCACTGCTTGTGATTCTTAAACTCTGCTGATTCCTTGTAATTCCGGACAGA